CCTCTTGACCACTTCTGCTGCATCTCATCAGAGTTGGTATGTTGTATTTTCATTTTCTTTTGTTTCTAGGTACCTTTTTAGTCTCTCTTTGATTTTTTCATTGATCCAATGGTTGTTCACTAGAATGTTGTTTAGTCTCCACATATTTGTAACTTTCCCAGTTATTTTCTTGTAGTGGATTTCTAGTTTCATAACATTGTGGTTCAGAAAATGTGCTTCATATGATTTCAATCTTCTTAAAATTTTTGAAGCTTGCCTTGTTTCTGATCATATGGTCTATCTTTGAGAATGTTCCATGGGCACTCAAGAAGAATGTGTATTCTGCTGTTTGTGTATGGAATGCTCTCCATATATCTACTAAGTCCCATCCAGTTAAGTGTTTAATTTAAATCTACTATTTCTGTGTTGATTTTTTGTCTGGACGATCTGTCCATTGAAGTAAGTGGGGTGCTGAGGTGCCCTACTGTTATTGTGTTGCTGTTAATTTCCCCCTTTAGATTTGTTAATAATTGCTTTATTTACTTTGGTGCCCCTGTATTAGGTTCATATATATTAATAACCGTTATTTCCTCTAGTTGGAATATCCTTTTTATCATTATATACTGCCTCTCTTTGTCTCTCATTGTCTTTTTTAACTTGAAGTCTGCTTTGTCTGATGAAAGTTTCACACACCTGCTTTCTTTTCTTGACCATTAGCTTGGAATATTGTTTTCCATCCCTTCACTCTAAGCCAATGTCTGTCTTTGGAGCTGAGGTGCATTTCCTGGAAGCCACATATGGTTGGGTCTTGTGTTTTAATCCATCCGGCTATTCTGTGTCTTTTGATAGGAGAATTCAAATCATTTACATTTAGAGTGATTATTGTTGTATGAAGGCCTGATGCTGCCATTTTGTCTCTTGTTTTCTGGTTGTTCCACACTTCTATTTTTTCTCTTCCTTTGTATTTCTGACTGCCATTTCATTTTGTTGGTTTTCTGAGGGGGATTTCTCAGTTTTCTCTCTTTTTGTGAATTGTGGCTCTGCTCTGATTTTTTGTCTAGTGGTTACCATGAGGATTATGTGAAAGATATTGGAGATGAGATAGTCCATTTTCTTATAGCCTCTTATCTCCATTAACCTGAGTAGGTTCCTTCTCTTTCCTTTCCCTTCCTCTCCCCTTCTGTCTATTTATCTCCTTACACAAATTGCTGTTACAAATTTTTCTGTTTTTAATTTTGTGAGTTTGTGGCTAAGTTGAAGTGTTGATAATTACTTTTGATGCTTTCTTTCACTTTCTCTTTTAGGTTGTTATTGGGTCCTTGCTTTCTGGTTCGGGTAGAGAGCTGAAGGTTTATGATCATGTCTGTCTATTTATCTCCTTGCTCAAAACTTTGTAGACCTTTGCCTTTTCATTGCTGGTGTGAGGGCATCTTTAATTATTTCTTGTAGCGGAAGTCTAGTGGCAATGATCTCCCTCAGCTTTTGTTTATCTGAGAAGCTTTTATTTCTCCATTTTATCTGAAGGAAAGTTTTGTTGTATAGAGTATTCTTGGCTGAAATTTTTGTCTTTCAGTATTTTGAATATATCATTCCATTCTCTCTTAGCCTGTAGGGTTTCTGACGAGAAATCTGCTGAAAGCCTGATAAGGTTTCCTTTCTAGGTTATTTTCTTCTACCTTGCTACTCCTAATATGTTTTTTTATTACAGATTTTTGCTATTATATGCCTTGGAGAAGGTCTTGTAGCATTGATGAAGTTGGGCATTCAGTTAGTTTCACTTATCTGTAAATCTGAAACTATCTCCACGTTTGAGAAGTTCTCAGCAATTATTTCTTTCAACAAACTCTCTGATCCTTTCTCCCTCACTTCTCCCTCTTGACTACCTATAATCCTTATGTTGCTTATTCCTAATTGAGTCAGATATTTCTCAATGAATTCCTTCATTTTTTTAAATCTTATTTCTGTCTCCTCCTTCACCTGTAGCATTTGCACATTTTTATCATCAAGAAGACTAATTCTTTCCTCCATAAGATCAGTTGTATTTCTTAATGATTTGAGATAATTTTTTATTTAATTGAGTTTTTAATATCAGAATTTCTGCCTTATTTTATAATTTCAATCTCTTTGGTGAAGAGATTGATCTTATTGCTGAGCTCCTTGAATTGTCTTTCTGTGTTTTCTTGTAAGTCAGTAAGTTTCATTATGATGGTTATTTTGAATTCTCTGTCATTTAAGTTGTATGTTTCTGTGCCTTCAATGTTGTTTTCTGGAGAATTATCATTTTCCTTCTGGTCTGAATCGTTACTGCAGTTTCTCATGGTGTTAGATGAACTAATCTTTTGTCAGGGCACTTGTGGTATTCTTAGGACACATATCCCCCCTCTTACCACTAGGGGGAGGGCAGAGCAGCATCTCTGGCCCCATCCCATCTGCTGGAAGAATGAGAAGAATGTATATTCTGATGTTTGAGGATGGAATGTTCTATATATATCTATTAAGTCTATCTGATCTAGTGTTTCATTTAATTCCACTATTTCCTTGTTGACTTTCTGTCTGGATGATCTATCCATTGGTGTAAGTGGGGAGGAGGTCCCCTACTATTATTGTGTTGCTATTTTTTCTCCTTTAGGTCTGTTAATACTTGCTTTATATACTTTGGTTTTCCTGTGTTAGGTATATATGTATTCATAAGTTTTACGTCCTCTTGGTGGAATACACCGTGTATCATTATATGGTGTCCCTCTTTGTTTGTCATTGTTTTTTATCTTGAAGTCTTCTTTGTCTGTTTAAGTATGGCAATACTTGCTTTCTTTTGTTTGCCATTTGCTTTGAATATCATCTTACTTTACCTTCACTGTCAGCCTATGTTTGTCCTTAGAACTGAGATGTGTTTCCTGGAGGCAATATATTTTGGGCTTTGTTTTTTAATCCATGAAGCTACTCTGTGTCTTTTGATAGGGTAACTCAATCCATTTAAATTTAGAATGATTATTGATCTATGAGGGTTTAAAACTGCTATTTTATTTCTTGTTTTCCAGTTGTTCTATATTTCCCTTGTTTCTTTTCTCTTGTATTTCTGACTGCCATTTTAGTTCGTAATTCCCTGTGACGGTTTTCTCAGTTTTCTCTTTATTTAAGAATTATGGCTCTGTTCTGAGTTTTTGGTTAGTAGTTATCACAAGGTTTCCTGTATAGAAGATCTCATAGATGAGATACTCCATTTTCTGATAACTTCTTATCTCCATTAGCCTAAGGAGGTTTCATTCCTTTCTTCTTCCCTTTTTGAGTTATTGTTGTCACCAATTATTCTTTTTTGAGTTTTGAATTTGTGACTAAACTGTAGTGTTTATAGTTATTTTTGATGCTTTCCTTCTCTTTATCTTTTATGTAATAATTAAGGGCTTGCTAAGCTGTTCTTATAGAAGGCTGCAATTTTCTGATTCTGTCTGTCTATTTAGCTCCTTACACAAAGATTTTTGAACCTTTGCCTTTTTTGTTTCGAGTCTAAGGGCTTCCTTCATCAGTTCTTATAAGGGAGGTCTAGTGGTGATGAATTCTTTCAGCTTTTGTTTATCTTGGAATGATTTCATTTCTCCATTATATCTGAAGGATAGTTTCACTGGAAAGAGTATTTTTGGCTGAAAGTTTTGTCTTTTAGTATTTTGAATATATAATTCCATTCTCTTCTAGCCTGTAAGCCTTCTACTGAGAAATCCTCTGAAAGCCTGATCAGGATTCCTTTGTGGATTATTCTCTTCTGACATGCTGTCTTTTAATAGTTTTTCTTTGTCATTGACTTTTGCCAGCTTTACTATTATGCACCATGGAGAAAATCTTTTTGCATTGATGTAATTAGAAGTTATATTGGCTTCATGCACTTGTAAGTCCAGTTCTTCCCCCTGGTTTGGGAAATTCTCAGCTATTATTTCTTTGAACAGGCTCTCTTCTCTGTAATTTCTCTTCTCTATAATCTTTACTGTAATTTTTCATGGTGTTTGATGAACTGATTCTTTGCTGGCATATTTGTAGTAGGACCAGCTCACAGATTCCACTTGCCACCACTGGGGTGAAGCAATATTTGTGTTTCTGATCCAACCTCATCTGCTGGAAGTTGTGAGAGTACAGTGGACACTCCCTCACTCTGGGATAGTGTTCATGCATGTGTGAAACTGCCACCACATCTGCTTATGCTCATGTTGGTTACTGCACTTGATTTGTGGGACTCCTTTGTGGGGTCTGAGCCAAGGCCACTCACTGGGCCTGTGGTGGCATGATAGGCACTCCCACAGTCTGGTATAGCATTTACCCTGACCTATACTACTTCTCCCACTTTTCTTTTTCTGATGTCCCAACAATATCAGTATAACACCTGCCACAGCTCACCTTCTAAGGACCCCATCAAAGACACTGAGCTTAAGGAACACAACTCATTTTTGAAATACCAGAAAGCTGTACAAAGAGCAATTTAGGTTTAAACCCCGAGTTAAAATTCTCTTACCCATTACATTATCTAGTCATTTTAGAAGAAGTTGATGATACGAGAATCAGACAATCTGGCTCACTCAGAATTTCTGTCACTTTTACTCATTCTAGATAGCCCAGTCCAAAGAAGGTGACACAGTCACAGAAGAGGAAGTGTCCTATGTTTTAGCTTTCTCAAGGCCTCCTTTGTGTTCCTGTTCCTCAGGCTATAGGTGAAGAGATTCACCTTTTGAGGGAAAATAGTGTACGTCATTGAAGCCAATGCAGTGTTTTTGGTAGAGTTAGTAAGATCAGAACTGATGTACACCTAAAAAAGCTGCCCCAAAGAATAAAGACGCAACTGAGAATTGAGACCCACATGTGGGGAAAGCTTTATATTTTCTACCCACTCATGGCATTCTTAAAACAGAGAAGACCATATGAGTATGAGAGAAAATGATTCCACACACAGTAATACTACCAAATACACTAGTTGCAAAATATATCAGAATGTTATTGATGAGGGTATCAGAACATGCAAACTTGATGAGGTGACCTACTTCACAAAAAATGCTGGAATTTCCAGGCCCATGTAGAAAGTCCACTGCAACACCATCTGACTGTGGAGGAGGACATACCCAATGCTAATGAACAGGGAGAATAGAATCAGTAGTCCACAGAAGTGGAAGTTCATGGTTATCTGTACCTCAGGGGGTGACAAATGGCCACATAGTGATCATAAGCCATTACTTCAAGAAGAAAATTTTCCAAACTTGCAAAAGTCAGGATAAAATTATGTAAGGCAGGTTGTATAAGTGATGCCCTGATTCTGTGCTTGAATAGTCATGAACATCTTTGAGATCATGGTTGTGCTTAAACAGATGTCAGTAAATGACAGATTACAGACAAAGAAATGCATAGGAGTGTGCAGGTGGGAATCAGAGATGATAGTCAGGACAATTAGTAGGTTTTCCAGGATGGCGACCATGCATATGGACAGGAACAGAATGAAGAGAAGAGGCTGTAGTTCTGGATCCTCTTCACATCCATAAGAAGGAATTCTGAAATATCTGTTTTGTTTCTGGGTCCCATGTTGTTGATGAATCTGATGGGAAAGGTGGACTGACAACATAATCATATGTCTGTTTTCTGGTCCAGCAGAAGAAACATCACCAGACGGAAACACTGTTTTGAGATGCGATGTACACTAATAGGGAGAAACAAGAATAAATGCCCTCTGTATGCATATTATTCTGTTACTTAAAAAAAATCTTGAAACATATAGCTCAGTGTCTTCCACTGTTAATTCCCACAAGAGTTGACTGGTGGTCATTTTTTTACATTATACTATACATATTACTCAGATTGTTTGAAACAATTAGTAATCTTATAAAGAGAAACAGACTAGGGAGGCAGCTGAAGATTCTGTCTGGATCCCCTGAAACCTCAGAGACAGGCACTTGAGACAATACATAGGTCAAGAACCACGAATGGGAAGAAAAGTCACCTTTACCAACATCCTGCCTTCCACCACCACAAGATTTCAAGTAAATATCACAGAAATTTGTAACAATCATATTGTTTTAGAAAAATCAGATTTCTACTCAGAAGGAAAATGGGCTCAGTGATGGTAGAGTGAATATGAGATTAGCAAATGAAAGGTTTTTTATTATTCGTGCAAAGTACAAAAAACGTGATGAAGAGAGGCAGGAGGACAGCGAACGACTTAGTTCTAATCATCTGATGTATGTACTCTCATCACAGTTTTCCCTGGATGAACTTGTAGTAAAATACATGCCCTCACTTTCAACTATTGACTAAAGGAATTTAGGTTTCCTAGCTGACATCACCGTGAAATTATGTTTGATATGTCCCCTGAACGTACCATCTGGGCGATCTGTCCTCAGGAAGGCCAGAGAGATTGAGTGAGACCCAGGCTCCCGAGAAAGAGGGATCACCCAAAAGAGGAAGCTCAGATGGGCTACTTTCTTTCACAGGAAGGACAGTTGAAGGAGGTGGTCACAAGCAGATTGTAGTCTCTGTGTACCTAGATGCTCAATTTTCAAAGCTCCTCATTAGCCAAGCTATTTTATTTTCACTGAGATCCCAAGACAGTGCAAATCCTTAGAGATGAAGTCTTTAGAAGGGAGGAATTCAAGATGGCTGCTTCTCTGACCCTATGAGACCAGGCACACGGTGTATTTTTCTCCATTTGTATCTGCTCATCTCCATTTCAAATTCTTGGCAAATATGGACACACCATTATTTTCTAACTGGATTCCGGTCTTCTTTCCTTAGTTATGAACAAAGACATTGTTATTTAATCAAGGGCATCAGGAATTCAGATACACACTGGAGGGGTGAAAATATAGTGTGTATCACATATATACACACACTATATACACACTATATATGATATAAATAATGTATTTTAAAATAAAGTGAAGTTATTGTAAAAATCCAAGCACTCTAAATATTTCTTGAAACTTAATCTTCACTGTGTGTATTTTATATAGTAGATTATTATCTGTTCTCTGTAATGACTCTATCTCTGATCAATACAGAGAGATCTGTTACTACCTTTTTAGATTTTCACAATCTTCTCTAATTTCACCACAATAGTTTCAATATAGTTTTCTTCGCCTTGGGGGACTGTGGATTGAACATTAGCATAAACATAAAATTTACCATCTTAACCATATTTAAGTATACAATTCATTAATGTTAAGTACTTCTCATTGTTGTGCAACCAATCCTCAGAAATCTTCTCATCTGGCAAAAATAAAACTCTATATCATGTAAATAAGGCCCAAATCCCCTGGTCCTCTCAGCCCCTGGTAAACACCATTCCACATTTTGCTTTCCAAATTTGAATACTCTAAGTACTTCATGTAAATGGAATCATTTGGTATTTTTATTTCTGTAACTGGCTTTTTTACTTAGCGTGATGTCCTCAAGGTTCATCCATGTTGTGAAATCTGTGAGAATGTCTTTCCTTTTTAAGGCTAAATAATATTCCATTGTATGTATATACCATCTTTTGTTTATCCAGTGTTCACCAATGCACACCCCAATGGCTTACTCCACAGAGGATCCTGGAAGCTTTCACCACTGAGGAAACCAACAGACAGTTCAGCAGCTTCAGATTCTCCACAGCCTTTGTCACTAAGTGTCCTGCATGTCTTTCCTTTCAAAGACTCCGACAGCTTGAGTCCTACCCCATCCTTACCTCCAGGATGACTTGATCCTGAAATCCAGATGGCCACTGAGCATACACCTACAGCTGGCTCCAGCACCCACGGTTGCACATGTGCACGTAGCCAGTCCCATTTCCTGTCACTGTCCCCTACCCCCATGCACACCCATGGCTATCCCTGTAGTGGCACAAATGCATACCACTAGCCCCAGAAATCACAGCTGTGCATACACAGGCAGAGAGACTCAAGCTGTATTGCTGTACTCTTGCACCATGTGTGTACCCACAGCTGACCCTGCCAATGGCCATGGCCCTCATCACAATGCAATTGTCCACAGGTGGCTTGTGCCACCATGCAGGAGACTGCAGTCAGCACTCTTACCCTGGCTACAAGTTAGTTGGTGCCAGTCAGCTAAAAATAAGTTGACTGTGGTAAAAGAAGTCCCAGTGTCTGTCAGTTAGAATCATGTAGTACATTGTAATACAATTTGACTGCTTTTCTGATAACTCACAGTTTACTGTAACAATATTGAAATCAATGACCAGAATTTCACCAAATTTCCCATAATGTTGGAAAATATGTCAAAATGAGTACTTTGAGATTGGGAAAAGTTCATAGTGATATCCTATAAGAGAACTAAAACATGCTTACTACATGTTTAGTGTAATTTTTTATTGTGGTAAAATATATATATAACATAAAATTTGCAATTTGATTTTAAGTGTGAAATTTTGGGAGAAAATTGCATTCACAATATAAATAAGACATCTTACATTGGGACAGAGGTAAATATAAGACCTATTGATCAGAAGATGGAGCCCAGAAAGAAACCAACACATAAATGGATAGTTTATGAAGGAACATCAAAATGAATCTGGATTCCTGTCTCACAGCAAAGGCAAAACTAAATCTCATGAAGAATATTGTTTCAAATGTAAAAGCCAGAACAGCAAACCCTTGTGGTTGAAGTAACTGTGAGTTTCATGAACAAGACCTATTGAGTGCAAGCCATTTTGGAAAACAATGGCAAATTCAGCTACACTAAAAATAAGCACTCTGGTCATCAAAAATAAATAAATAAATAAAACTATAAAAGACATCCCAAAACAAGGCAAATATCTAAAAAGAGATTTTCAGTGCTTATCACTAAGATTAATATTCTGATAAAAGAGGTCACAAGCATCAATTAGAAAAAGATAAACAGCATGGTAGAAGTCCAGAAACAGATATTTAACAGAGTATAAAATAAATACATGAAAAACACTATCTACTATATATAGTAAGAGACATATATATTAATGAAATCTTTTTATACCCAGCAGATTACCAGGATACTTGAAAATGTCTTGGTGATGATGTGATTGACCAGGACTTTCTAATGTATGTGTACGTGTGTTCATTGACTTCAGAAAACTCTTTGGAACTACTTAAAGAGGAAAAGTGCTATTTTATATTCAATATTACCATCTCAATTATAATAAACTCTCTAATTTCCACCAGGAGACATATAAGAGAATATTCAAACAGGTTTACTCATAACACCAGGAAACTGGTTACAAAAAGTATAAAATTTCCAGAGTATCAGAAAGGATACCTATTTTGAAAAGATACCATAAACAGTGTAAAAAATCCAGAGTATTGGAAATGAATTAGTTACTGCTACTATGAACAATATGATTGAATACAAAAAGTGCAACAAAGAGGAAAAACGTCAGGACATGAAATATATACCCTAAGATTTAGCAAGTTGGAAAACAGGCAGATTTACAAATTGGACAGGAATACACAGAAGGGTGATAAGTCAAAGATTTTTAAACCCATTGCCTGTTTCATAGGAAAAATATGATCAAATACTGGAAATTTTATAAAATGCAACCTAAAAGAACTTTAAAGAAAATTATAAGTACAGAATACAGGATAGCATCTGACACTTGACGTGACAGAGTGTTGTGACTGGAAGACACTTCAGGTGCATTCTATAATGGTGGCATGGCTCTATTTTTAACCCCTAGATAGATAAATGAGTTTTTATTATGTTATTATTCTTTCAGAACTACAGGTAGATTTTTATTCAGTACTTAATATTAAATTAAAAAGTAAAATTAGGGGCCGGCTCCATGGCCGAGTGGTTAAGTTCGCGCGCTCCACTGCGGCCGCCCAGGGTTTGGATCCTGGGCGCGGACATGGCACCGCTCGTCAGGCCACGTTGAGGCGGCGTCCCACATCCCACAACTAGAAGGACCTGCAACTAAGATATACAACTATGTACGGGGCGGGGGGGAGGTGGGGGGAGGATTGGGAAATAAAGCAGAAAAAAAAAAAAAAGATTGGCAACAGTTGTTAGCCTAGGTGCCAATCTTTAAAAAAAAAAAAAGAAAGGTCTATCATATCCTTAATTCTAAATACATTCTCCCATATTCATTCAATATGGAATTCACGCACTTCAGACTTCAGAGGTCATCAGAATCTCACAGGGTGCTTACTGAAGAGGCTTATCCCTCACATGTTTCCATAGAGATTCAAAGTTGGTAGTTCTTCAGTAAGATTTGGAAACATGTCGTATGTGCAAAAGCCCCAGGTGATTCAACTCTGTGGGTATCCTCTGAACAGCAGTGCAGGAGGCACTGCACTAGGAGGTACCATGATTCCCAGGCAAAGCTGTATTCCAGATGTGCTACTAAAAATAAAACAACCTCCTCAGCCTCCAATGATGACCAGAACACAAGGATCTCATTTGCTCTCCTTTGAGACTTTCACTTTTCGCCCCACATGCATAGAGAGCCTTCTTTGAAATATTGTGATTACAAGAAATGTGATCAACCTAATTGTGCTAACCGCCCTTTCTCCTCTCTTGTTTTGCACTCAACAACTCCTTCTCACAGTAAAGTATTTCTCCATAAAATAAATTTCCTCGTAAAGACACATCAAAAAGTTTTGCATGAGAACCCTGAGTGCAGCTAATGTTCTAAGACATCAGTGATATAATTAATTTTATTCAAGTGTGATCTTCATGAGGACACCAGCAGAGATAAATAAGAAACACAACAAGATCGATGATTAAGAAGAAAAGTGAAAATTCACCAGATATATTTTTACAAATCAGCCAATGAGAAAGTTTCAAAGCTAAGAAGATGCCAGATTACCAACCTTTGCTTCGCCTGCCTAAACAGTTTGTTTTTTTATTTCTCAGAGCAGCAAAAGAAAATGTGAAAAATAACATAAAAGAAAAATTTACTTGCTGAAGTATGTATTAAAAATCCATGAGAACAGTAGGAATACAAATGTATAAACATAGGCAAGTATAGAACACAATGACACTAGTTAATTTTGTTAAGTACTTGACATGTGTCAGACATTGTCCTCAGTGTTTGCAGTGCTTGTGGAGGTGGACCAGAGACCAAGAGGAACACTTCATGCAGTCAATCTAAGACTCTCAAAGTAATCATTTTCTCCACATCAGGAAGGAGATATAGAAGAGGAATATGATCCTATTCACAGTGAAGGGATTTAAAGGTATATATTCTGGATGACCCTATACAATACTAAGTATCAAAAGACCTAAGGAAGAGGAGTCAGATTACCTTCTCTGGTCATGATGTCTTGCTATGATGTCTGCATCTGTTGCAGCCATCTGGGCCAATGAAGGGAGCTTGTCCCAGTAAAAAAAGGCACCCATGGAGGAGTAAATGAATTTTCCTCTACATTTTCTACCTCTGAAGTCCCTGTAAGGTGAGATAACTCTCTTTATTGCCCTGGTATATTAGAATCAGGGTTACTTTCTCTAAGAAGAAACAATGACTTTCTCACTATTCAAAATCAAGTTCCTGACAATCATCTCTAACCTCTAATAATCACATTATAGCATGTTGATAGATGATAAAACTGAATATAATGGATGCTGATGTTGCCCTGCACAGGTACAGTTGACCAGCGACAGGTCTCAGGAATCACTGGAGTATGAAAGAACAACTCTTCCCATGTCTCACAGTAGACTTGTCTCTGGGGCATAATTCACATGGCCCTAGCCATGAGATCAGACACAATCAAGTCTTTGCTATGACCACAGACTTATTTGATCCTTCTCTGGACCTATCCAACATCTCCCATTTTTTCCTCTGATGTCTCAACAATATGAGCATAAACCTTGCTTCAGTTCACCTCCAAGGACCCCACCAAAGACACTGAGCTTAGGGAATGGAACTCATTTTTGAAACACAACAGCAGGTTGGGATTCAATCTGAAGTTGAAATTCACTTACCTTTTGTATTATCCAGTCATTTTAGAAGAAGTTGATGATACAAGAATCAGACATTCTGGCTTGCCCATATTTCTGTCACTTTGACTCATTCTAGAAACCCTAGTTCAAGGCAGGTCACACAGTCACCAAAGAGAAGATGTCCTACTGATGAGTTTTCTCAAGGCTCCCTTCACGTCCCTGTTCCTCAGGCTATAGATGAAAGGGTTCATCATTTGAGGGACAACAGTGTACATCATTGAAACCACTGCAGTGTTTCTAGAAGAGTTAGTGAGAGCAGAACTAATGTTAACTCCAAAGCCTGTCCCATAGAATAAAGAGTACTGAGAGGTGAGAACCACAGGTAGAGAAAGCTTTATAGTTTCTAGTCACTGATGATATTCTCAAAACAGAGGATACTATTTGAGCATAAGAGAAAATAATTCCACACACAGGAATACCACCAAATACACTGGTTGCAAAATACATCAGGATGTTATTGGTGAGGGTATCAGAACATGCAATCTTGATGAGCTGAACAACTTCACAGAAGAAGAGGGGGATTTCCAAGTCTGTGCAGAAGGACAGTTGCAACACCATCAGACTGTGGAGCAGGGCATCCAGAATGATAATAAACAGAGGGAGTAGAATCAGCAGTCCACAGAAGCGAGAGTTCATGATGATTGTGTACCTCAGGGGGTGGCAAATGGCCAAGTAGTGGTCACAGGCCATTACTGCAAGAAGGCAACTTTCCAAACCTGCAAACACCAGGACAAAGCAGATCTGTGTCAGGCAGCCTGTATAAGTGATGCTCTGATTCTGTGTTTGGATGTTCACCAGCATCTTTGGGATTGTAGTTGTGCTTAAGCAGATGTCATCAATAGACAGATTGGAGAGAAAGACGTACATGGGGGTGTGCAGATAG